TACCTTTGGGAGTGATTACCCTTACCTTGTCATACGTGACACATCTCTGGAGATGTAGTTAAACGGTAGGTACGCGAAGGGTGACATACCAAGTGATACACCATATGGTTTGGAATGATGTGAAGGTATTCAAGATGTTAAACATAACAACAAGGGTTCCTCAAGGTTATATTCCTTAGAAAGAATAAGAATAAACTCGATATCACTGAGAGGAAATGAAGGTAAGTAGGTTGACTCTACCCAAACTTGTGAGTTTGGTGTCATATAGAACAAATCATGGTCTTAGTCCTTGAGGGCAAGTGATGGACCTCATGAGTAGGGCCAACTCTATGCAACATGGTAAATGAGATATGGTTTTAGTGTCGATGAGGACATCGACCAAAGTGAGTGGGGGAGAATGTCAGGGACATCTCATTTCTATGAGATAACTTTGACAATAACCTGATGGTGGACCGAGTAGATGCAATCGTGAGCCAATAAAAAACTTGAAGAATGAATATGAAGGGTCTGTCAAGGTAATGGCCTCAGTTCAGACATTCCAACGTGTACTGGTGTCATAGCTGGTAAGTTTTTTTAGCTTTTTAGGGGGAAGTGATATGGTGTTGAGTCTCCACCATCCCCTTCACTCTGAGCTAGCATGTGGAGCTACCATGGTGTAAGCGACCTTCTCCTAGGTTCATGTGGAACTTAGGTGTACGGGCATCAGGACCAAGCAGATAGTACAATGTCTCTCTAGGATGATACCTAGGGATGGTTTGGGGCCAGTGTACCCCATATCGCGCTCTTGGTTGAGGAGTGGGGTTACAACCTAGCATTCGATATGCCTCGCGAGATGTTTTTTCCAAGAGTACTTGTGACTTTGGGATTATATTATGGCTTGAGACTAATGTGTGGCTTATCTGTTAGGACATGATATTGTGGGATCGACTAATGAACTAAGGGATGATTCTTATTTAATGTGACTTGGCTTCATGACGAGTTAAGACGAGGCTTGGATCTATGTTGGGAAAGGCTGACTTGTCTGGGAGTTGTCCCATTCAAGTGCCGCAAGACAGAGCAATAGGTCCGAGACGTTATGTCCGTGACAATATGTAAGTAAATATGACATTAAATATTTAAATAAATTTTGGAGTAAAGTAAATAATCTCCTGATTATACGATATTATTGTTTTATCAAGTTTGTTGATTATTAAAAGTTACAAAATGACCTTTTGACTATAAGGAGTTGTTTTATTAAGTTCCTTGACTATTAAAAGTTACCAAATGATCACTCGACTATTCATTATGTTCCAAACTTTTCATTTTCTATTAAAAAAATTAACAGTTATTTGAGTTTGACATAAACACACTGATTGAGATATGATGGTGGTTTGAGATTATGAGATCATATTTTATCATATCCCAGTTAGTTTGTCAACATATAGTTCAGATTGTCATCAAATTTTTAACAAAAAAATAAATTTGGAACATAATGAATAGTCAGATAACCATTTTGTAACTTTTTTTAATTGAAAATGGTAACCTAAAGGTGTTTACAGATGCACTGGGAAATTGGCTCCCCTTATACCAGTTAACAAGTACGCATGCAGACCATGTTAGGTGGTATCGTGGATAATCTCTTGGACACGTTCGGTGGATTCATCTTGGTAAGTTTATAGACGACTTCTTTTGTTGTTCAAGGGACCCAAAGCATACTCGTCTCACAGTCTCGGTTTCGCAAGGCAGTGATCGGTCGAACTAGTGAAATCTAGTTGTTTCTTACTCTTCTATCATCTAGGAGTTCAATGGCTTGCTTATTGTCCATTTGGATTTACAGGCTTTTAATACTCAGATTCAAAGTGAGACAAACCCTTTCTTGGATACCCCAGAGTTCGATTTGAAGAACCAAGTTGTGTCCTATGTTCTTACTAAAGCCACATATCCAAGAGCCTGCTGCATCGTAAAGAATTCCCCCTGCCGTACTCGAACCACTGTGTGGATCGACTCCTCCATCTGAATTCATGCACATCCATCCTATAGTCAATGGACCATTTATATACTTTACTCTAAATTTAAATTCGGTAGTATTTTAGAATTCATTAAGTGGTCTTAATGATTAAGATAGGGACGGAGGTACATCAGAGCTTGGGGTCACTCCTTCCCCTTTTTTATCATTAAAGAATATTGGGACAATGACCTATTTAGGCCTTTAAATTTTAATTTATTTTGATTTTGTCCCCTTGAACTAAAATCCTCGATTCGTCCCTGGGTTAAAAGAAGTATTACTCTCAATAGATCCTAAGTTCAAACAACTATATTTGTAGGGTGTGTGCATTGTCAATAATTAAAAAATATTTTGAACAAACATTATCTTGTAATTGTCCAACTATTAAAAATGATATTATTTGAATTTATTTAAATGAATATAATAAATTTATTTATTTTTAATATTAATTAAAAATCTATTTTATTAATTAAATTTAATTAATATAATACAAAAGAGGATATAAGATTGAATAAATTTCAATATTCGATATTTTTAATTTATAATTCAAAAAATATTTACTTTAATTATAATAAATATTTTATAAATTCATAGAAAAATCGTGAATAAATAACAAACACCAAAGTCGGTATAAACTTGGGTAGGTTAAATTGAGTGCGGCAAAGCCACCGTTTCAACTACTGATATTTACTGCCGGAAAAAAAGGGTTGTTGAGGCCATTCAAAACTCGGTGTTATTTGGGGAAACATAATTTAAATTTTATATAATAAAATTTTCACAGCAAAAATCCCAGCTGTAAAATTACAATAGGTAAAATAGTAAATTTTCCGACCCCATGACGATTAAACAATGTAAAATCTATAATAATAATAATAATAATAATAATAATAATAATAATAGGAGTTTAATTTTTTAGAATATATTCACATAAAATTCTGACTTTTAAAATGATTGAATATAGATTTAATATTTTAAATTTTATCGGAAAACACATTTTAATTTTACATTTATTCAAATAAAGATTTAACATCAGTTTGGTATATCTTTTAAAAAATTGTAGAAACGAACTTTTAAAAATGTTATACAAAAATATAATTTAAAATTTAATTGTTTCGGATCTCTGTTAAAAAATAAGTTTGAAACGATAAGATATATTTAATTTGAATCATATTATGTTGTAAAACAAAAACATATTTAAATGACTTTTACACTTATATTTGAATCATATCAATTTAAACTATAATAAATTCAAGAAAAAAATATTATTATATGTGAATTATATCAATTCAAATATAAAAAAATAAAAAATACAATTATAATAAAACTATATTTTATATATGAATTTTATTTATTTTTAAATAATTAAAATTAATTATTAAAATTAATAAATTATTTTTTAAGGATGTTAGTATTAAATTATTAAAATAAAATGTAAATACATAATTAAGTAAATTAATACGTCAGTAAGAGTAAAATTATAATTTGCTTCCAAACACAAGGTTGAAAATGAAAAGGACTAAAAATCTTAACTTTTGTAGTTTGTCTGAAATCATCGCTTTTAACGTATTTTTTTATCCATTTAACATTGATTTTGCAGTTAAAACGAGTTTTTTTAGCTAAAATTATTTTTCGAAGGGCCTTTAATCATTTTGGACCTTGTTTTTTTTAGACCACTTCGATCCTTTATCTTTAAAGTTTAATTTATTTAATATTTTGAACAAAAAGATTGTTAAAATTGTTAAAATTTTAATGATACTAACCTGATAGCTCGAGTGGTAATCCATATATATTTGATTAATGGACTAGCTAATGTTTTCAAAAAATTTGAGCTTTTCTGAATTTTTAAAATTTCTAAAAATATACATGAGAAATCGTTATTTGAACATACAATAAAAAACATCAAATATATATTATATTATATTATATATATATATTATATTATATTATATTATATTATATTATATTATATTATATAAAAAATAATATTCATGTTTAAATATTAATCATTAATATTAAATCTATTGATCGACTAATTTAGATTGAGTATTGTAAAGGCGAAGGTGACTCGACCCTCCCAATTAGGGATACAATCGACCAGAGCCGACCCAAAAATTTTATACCCTCCACCCGACCTGACCCGACTTTTTGAGATAAAATCCCAAATTGACTCGATTTGACCCGAAATAATATTTTTTTTAAAAAATATTATTTTTATTCAATAAAAATATGGATTTAATCTGGAAGAGTATATAGAGAGATATTATTGTAACTATCCCTAAATATATAAGGTAAAATTATTTTTTTTTTGGTATGGTCGGGTCGAGTATTTTTCACCATAAACTCGAACTCGATCAGAACCGAATACAACCTCTAAAAACTCGACTCGACTCGACTCAAACCCTTTTTTTTAAAAAAATCCTAGCCTATTGAGTCGAGTCTGGTCGAAACCTGTTAGGTTTGAGTTACATGCTCATCTATACTCCCAACCTAATTTGATTTATTCATAAACATCATAGTTCAAATTCTTAACCTTATTTAAAAGATCTAATGTCTTATCTCACTAGATGAAATGATCGTAGGTGAATAAAACCAGTATTTAATAAACAAGTATTTGGGTTTCTTTTTTTGGATTGTAGGGGGAAAAAAAGGTTATAACTAGAAACAATGTTAAGCGGTTAACGTGACATAACTCCCTGATTTCGAGATAAATTCTTTGGCCCGGGTTCAATCGCTCTTTCCTCCTGTTTTATCGGGACCACATCCACGTGTCGATTTCTCAAACACCGCGGCGCCTCGTTAGATATCTCTCTGTCACCGGAACGTCGACGTCGCCGATATACCTCAGCCTCCCGCCGTTCAGTCAAGGCCGCCTGAAGAAAATAAATAAATTAATAAATAAAGATGTTGGGGGATTAAGTTGAACCCTGTTTTGGGATCCTATAAAGCTAAAGCTTTCCATTTACACTCCAAAAACTCCTCTTACTATTTCATTCCCTCTGCTTTATTCCCTCGTAATTTTTCTGGTTTCTTCTTGTTATATTTTCTGGGGAAAAAAAGGTATCACCAGAAAGTAGTTTGGATTCTTAGTCTCTTATCAGATTTTAGATTCGGAAGTTACCCAGAATAGCAAAGCTGTGCACTGTTTGAGTCGGCTAAAGCTATTTTTTGCGGTATCCCCCTTCTCTTTTTCTGGGCTTCACTCTCTTTCAACTATTTTCGGGTGCTTTTCCGTACTGCTTGTGTGAGCGAGCACGCTCTTTGTTTGGCTTCACTTTCCTTGAAATTTCTTGTTGTTTGGTGAACCCTTTGAAGGTGGGGGTTAATGGTGGATGTTTTCTTTTCGTTTTCGAGCTTATCTTCAACGTGTTCTTCCTCTTCTCAACCTTTTATTCTCGCAAGGAATCTCTTCTTTCCCTCTTTCTTCTTACTTCACAGTTCACTCTCGATCCCAAATGAAGAAGAAAATGGATTGTTTTCTTGTTCCTTCGTTGAAATACACTGAACACCGCCATCAAACAACGCTGCTTTCACCGCCGTTGGATGTCGGGATCCAAAATCAGCCAGGAATGAAGCGTCGGGTTGTTCGGATTTCAGTTACGGATGCCGACGCTACTGATTCCTCCTCCGACGAAGAAGAAGAACGAAGTTGTTATCGAAACAGAGTGAAGAAATACGTTAACGAGATAACTATCGAGTTATCATGCCCCGTCAAAAGAGACACCGTTTTAAGGAGTAAATCGTCGTTGTCGAAGAGCTCTCGAAAGCGACCGGCGGGTAAGAAGTTCAGAGGAGTAAGGCAACGGCCTTGGGGAAAATGGGCGGCTGAGATCAGGGACCCGCAAAGACGTGTACGGTTATGGTTAGGTACCTATGATACAGCCGAGGAAGCAGCAATGGTATACGACAACGCGGCTATTAAATTGCGTGGTCCCGACGCGCTCACGAACTTTTTGACTCCCAAGGAGGAAACGATCCAATTCGAAAACAGCCAAAAGCCGTTATCCAGCTCAGACTACAACTCCGGTGAAGAATCTCAACACGCAAAACTTCGCTCTCCGACCTCCGTTCTCCGTTTCCCGTCGCTCTCCGCCCACGACGGCGACTCTCAAAGCATCAGAGATCCACGAGAATCTGTGAGCCAACCTCGCGACGTCATGGATGAGTCCTGCTTCATATCGGGAGAAAGTTTCTCAGATTTCTCCGATCATTCATCGTTGTTCCCGAGTGATATATTCAGCTCGGTGCCGGGATTATTCGACGGCAATACGGATTGTTTGCTGAAAGATGATTTCGGGTACGGGTTTTTGAGCTCGGGTGGGGATTTCGATTTCGGATTCAGTGGGTTATCGGGGTTGCAACGTGTCGACGATCATTTCCAAGATATCGAGGATTTGTTCGGGTCGGATCCTCTCGTGGCAACTTAAGAGTGCTTTTCCGGCGATTCCATGGCAAGTTTTGGATCGCTGGGAAGTGGGGAGTTCAGTTTTGGATCGCTGGGAAGTGGGAGTTCAGTTTTGTTTATTTGTTATGATATTATTTATTTTCAATTAATATTAATTAGTAAAAGTAAAGACTATTAAACTTCTTCATCGTTGTAAGGGTGACGGACGTGTTTGGGTACGTGTTGTGTGCTACGTCTTTTTTATGTAAAGGCACGTGTTCGTGTACTACTCCGAAGTATTTTTAAACTAGTGTGTATTTGGAACTTTTCGTATAATATTACGTATAAAATTTTTATATTCATTTAATAAACTAATGAATATCAGTGTGTTTGATTTGTTTATTTTTACGAATAATTTTATTTATTTACTCTTTTATTTATCTTTGTAAATAAGTTCGTTTAATGACTCTTTTAGTAGTTTGTTTATTTGGTTATATTTTTCTTTTTATTCTTTTATATTTTGAATATAGGTAGATGTAAGGACTAAATTTAATGCATGGTGAAATTATAAGTTTAAATTGTGAATTTTAAGAAGGTTAAACACTAATAGAGTAATTTTATCAATTTTCTTTAACATGTAAATGAAAAGTAAAATTTATACATGGTAAACTTGATCTGAAACCGATTACCCGAACCGGTTTACCAGACTCAATACTCGATATTAACCAAAACATTATGATAAATCTTACCCATTCCAAAATTTACCTAACCCGATATCGATCCATATCCAATTTGACCTGAACTGAAATTAACCTGAATCAAAAGCAACCCGAACTGAAAACAACCTGAATTGAATTTAACACAATCCGAAAGTAACCCGAATCGAAATTAATCCGAATAAAAAATATGTATATATTTGACTAGACTTATAACCAAATTAAGTCTAAATTATAAGATTAACAAACAAGAATACATGTTTTTAAAGGATATATTAATAATTATATATATATATTTGATTATACTCTATTCAAACTGTTCAATTTCTTTCATCTGATAAATAAATCTAATAATTTCCAGTGTATTTCTTTTTTGATCTTGTTCAATATGGTATCATTCGCCGGCGATTCAAGTGCCTGAAGCTGTTCTGGTGTGTGTCCTCCATCGCTTCGCTCTGTGGTGAATCTTGCTTGTTGTTTTCTTCGGTCATGGCAGATGTCGAATCTAGGAATGGTTCCTTGGTTAATCGACAGATTGAATCTTTCCTTGCTAACAAATATGTGAGTGTTCGTTTAGATGATACTAATTTTCTTTTGTGGAAGCAACAAGTCTTGTTCATGATTCGGGGCTATGAGTTGGAACACTTCTTGGATGGTTCTGTGGCAGTTCCTTCGCAGACAATTCTTGATGAAAATGGTGAACTGGTGGTCAATCCTTCCTACCGACAATTCAAGAAGCAAGATAACTCTCTTGCGTCGTGGTTAGTCTACCATCATGGTAACACCCATAATATGTATTCGACAATCAATACGAATTACAGATGTCACATCAAAAATTTAAAACACTTTTAATTTGACCGAGTAAAATTTTATTTTATTCAATTATTACCAATTTCATGACTTGAACAATTATTTTATAATAAATGTTCAAAGAAAAATCATAATATAATATTTTTTGTTATAAATTCAAAATCAGTTTCAAGTAATGATAGACAATTATGTTCTGTTCCATAAAATAAATAAGACTGCCTAACACGCTTGATTTAAAACCCAAATTAATTTTGATTTTTTAAGCATAGTTTAATATCATAATATTAATTATAATTAATACTAACTATATTAAGAAATTGCAGACTTTTCATTCTAGTATACATGTCAACTAGAACTTTTAAAACACAGTAAGATATCATCATTGTTACCTGTAAATATTTCTTTAGTGATTGATGTTAAGCTCAGCTCCTTACTCATTTTTTCTATGCGTGAAAATCATCACACACTAAGTATACACTTAGTGATGTAATTATATAAATATTCAAAGCAATGCAACATATAAATATAAATGAGTAATAATATTCAATGCAATGTGATCACTTTACCTACATTCCAACAATGTTACCATAAATTAATATGATAAAATCGGATATAAAATTTCTTACCAATATGCTTGTCATTTATTTCATAAGGCCGTAAGCTTATTTACATGTTTATCATTTATTAACCAATAAATCATAGCCCAATTTAAACCCTGAGGACCTTGGGTATTCGAGTCAAATATATTGACCGTAGTGCTAAACTTGCACTAAGCTTACACTTTAGTGCTAATCCGGATATCACACATAAGGTTACGCCCACCACCTACACTATGTTTACACTCTAGTGTTAATCCAGATATAACACATAAGGTTGTGCCCACCACCTGCACTTAGTGTCCTTACACACTAGTACTAATATAAACCTGTAGCTGCTACACTCTATGGCATGCCAACTATACCCTCTCCCTCAATGACTTACTTGGGCATATAATCTATTTTTTTTTATTTTCCATCAATGACAATGTATATTAATATAATTTTAACATTAGTAATAAATATCATATATATTCATGATAAAAATCATATATATAATAACCATTGATCAATGCATTTTATATTCAACCTTTGACATATTTAGAATATTCAAATATATGATATATGACATAAATATCATGCCAATATAAACAAGGTAGACTTATCGCAAGTCCTACCTAATGATGTATAAACATCAATGTATAATATTATGCATGCATTTAACTCACTTTGAGACTTTATATGCAAGTCAAAATATAAGCCTCACTAAGCTTTAACTTGATCCTTTGCTTCTAATTTGGTTAAATCCCAAAATTTGTCATAATTTCATATCTTGGTAGTTTGCACTACCTTTAAAGAAATATTATTATGTATTAATATACACCTTTAAAAATTATTCCGTTTTTACCAATGGAAACTAGACTCAAATAAAAATCTATCAATATAAGAAACTCCTTCTAGTTCAATTTGTACAATTTATGGTGAATTTTCAAAGTTGACTGACAGAATCTATTTTGAGCAGAATCTGCTGCCCCGCTTTCTGACCTATCATCGATTAAAAATTCATATCTTTTTGTATATACCTTGAAATTAGTTTCTGTTTGATATAAACAAAACTATACTGGTATACGAATACAAAGGTATAAGAATCATCCTCTAATAATTTTTTTAGAATTTATGGTGATTTTCTGAAGTTATTGTCCATAACTAAATTTCTAAGCAGATTTCACCAATTTGCATTTTCAGCTTGTCACTAATTCTATTAGCTCACCCAATACACATGTATGAATATACCAAAATTTGCATAACAATTAGGAGTCACTTCTTACCATAGTAACTCTGTCATTGGCTCATCGCAAGCCAATGTTTATTCGATACCATAAGTACAAATTAAATTTGCACTCACCTGGTATCCTTAGCTTGCAAACTTCCCTTAGGATTCCACATTCAATCCTTAAGCTTTTCCTTAGCTTTAGTATTGCTTGATATTGATTTCAATCACACAATCTAAATGAGCATCATTACAAAACATATACAATATAACCACAAGTTAGAATCTTACTAACATAGGCACACATTAGAAAATAATTTCCTAATAAATCTTCCGATGCTCATTCGATAGAAATTCCATGTCACAACATAAGTGTTGAGCTTAACCCTTCTAATTGATCATTCAAATTCTTTTTTATTCAAATTTCACAAAATATTTTCACTTAAGCTCCCAACTTTTCCATACTTGTGATTTAAACCTCAACTTTTACAAGCTTTCCAAAATAATTCAATTTCACTTCCTAACTTCAATTTCAACACCAAAACATTAATTTCCAGCATATTACATCAACTATTGAACAATTACACAATAATCCATTTCTAAAACTACTGATTTGGTCCCCTAACTTTTTAAAAATTACATAATGGTCATGTAACATCCTCAATACATGGTTAGTGACTAAATTATAAAACTTCAGAATTTAGTGAATAAAGTATATAAATTGAATAATTTAAGGACTTATATGGAAAATTCTGTGTAGGACTAAATAATAAAGAATGATGAATGAAAGGGCAAAATGGTTATTTGACCTAGAAATAAATTAAAAATAGAATATGGAGGAGATATATACACATGGAATGAATGATTAAAGGAAAAAGAAAGTTTTTAGAGAACTCTTCTTCACTCTTCTTCTTCTTCAGTTGTGGGATACATATCAAATGTGAGTTTCATTATGAGTTGATTATTAGTTGAAATTAAATTTGAGTTTTGATCATTAGATGATACTTAAGCTTAAGGAAAGCTTAAGTTATCTTAAAACTATAAGATGAAAGAGATATTAAGGATTAAAGATAAGGGGTTTCTAAATGAAATCTTGGAAAAGAGTTGGTAGGTAGAATTTGAAACAAAATTTGACTTGTCATCAGTTGAATTAAGAAGTATGAAGTGTTAGAATTGGAAATAGAACATGTTGGAAATTAGGTAGGATTCTTAAATTCAAGATATAGGAGGAGATTTATAAGATAAAGAGGTGTTAAATGCATAGAAATTGGTTTGAGTATGTATACTTGAGTTAAGAGTATTAAAGGGGTTAAAACATAAAGGATTTGAGTTGAAATAAGTAAATTTTCGGGGTCAAAATGTGAAAATTTGGGCTTGAGTATCGGTACTGCTTCATCCGATACCGATACTTCAAGAGCAAAAGAGGGATATTTGGTATAGGGGTATTGATACTGGTCGAACAGTATCGATACCATAGGTCTGAATTTGGTAAAGATATTCAAAAGGTATCGATACCAGGGAAGGTAGTATCTGTAACATCCGCAATACCGGGTTAGTGACTAAATTGAAAAGTTTCAGAATTTGGTGACTAAAGTAGAAGAATGAAATAATTTAATGATTATTGGTAATATATGTTGAAGGTTATTTAGTAATTATTAAAGGAAATTAAGGGTAAAATGGTCATTTGACCAGAAAGATTTTTATCTTTCTTTTAAGGTGATAAAAACGTGGAAAGGGTGAGAAGAAAAGAAAGTTCTGG